AATAAAACTGGGCTGCCAGATAGTATTGCCTTGGAAATGGAACTTCAGACAGGATCCAATTTATCATCACTATGAGCCAAAATGTAGGCTTGGCGAATGGTAAGTCTAACGAAGCTTTCGTGGGAGCATCGATAAGCAGTTTTATCAGGCCTCAAGCTTGGCAGAATTTCAGCCTCTGTGTTTGGATTATGAACAGCCTAGTTGGAAACTTAGCAAAAAATTTCTTGCTGTTCAGCATTTAATACATGCTTATCATTTTTATCAATTGACCTTTCCTGAAACCACGCAGTATTGAGTTATGTCTCCTTCAAATCTAGTTCCATGCCAGAATCTTATCAAAATGTTAGGAATTTAGAGAGAGTGGGTGCTGAAATACCCGGCACAATACTGACATGTTTTTTAATATCCTACAGAATTAAAATCTCAGGAAGTATGAAAACCAGTGTAGATTGCCTGTGGTTTATCCCTTCATTCATTTCAAACATTGATAGTGGGGCTTTTATGGCCATTTGCTTGCTATTTTATGTTTATAGCTCCCATATTTAAAACAGTAGACATCAGGTTTGTGTAACCACTGATTTTGTTGGCTTTTGACCAAGTTTATGATGATTTTTTAATGTCTTTCTATAAATCTCATTTTGTGCAGTTATGAAAACCTCCATTTTGAAAATCACAAACCTCTGGTGGAAAAGTTCATGTAAAATCCACATTGTACAGAAGCACATATCTTTACTGTCTCCAGACAAAACGTCTGAAAACTGATTTAATGTTTGCACTTTGGGTGCAACTTGAAAGAGAGAGCCTTAAAAAAAAGAGTGGGAGTGAGCTATTAAAGGATTTTTAACAAAATAGTTTGCTTGTCTTGTGCAGGACATATGGACTATGCCCCCAGAAAAAGAAATTAGTTTCTGCTAATGAACTGAACATATATCTAGCATTTTATATGTCTGTTAAACTGTGTAATTTTATATTTGAATATTTAACAATTTGTCTTATTATGTAATTGGTAAAATGGTGCTGGGTATTGCTGTTAATTCAATCACATATTTATATTGTCTGGATGTATGATTATAATTCTTGGGGAGAAATAATTTCTTAGTGTCTATCAGCTTGTAAAAACTAAATGTGAGAATTTAAATATCTAAGTAAATATTGAAATGCAAAAAAATAAAAAGTTGAGTGTAATTACTAAACACATAGAAATAGAATGTATAACTTCTAAAACAGAAGATGGAAATCTTGAATTTTAAAATTCATTCCAAAAAAGACAGAAAAAGATTAGAAAAAGGAAGCAGGTCAAAATAGAATGCAAGAGTAAGATGGTAGCAGTAATTTAAATATATCAGTAATGCCCAAGTGTCCATCAATAGACAAGTGGATAAAACGACTATGGGATGTTTACATAATGGAATACTACTCAGCCATAAAAAAGAAAATCTTACCCTTTGTGACAGTATGGATGGACCTGGAGAACATTATGCTAAGTGAAATAAGCCAGTAAAAGAAAGACAAATACCATATGATTTTGCTCATATATGGAATCTAATGAACATACTGAACTAACAAGAAAAATGGGGACAGACTCATAGATGGAGAGCAAGATGAGAACTAGTTGAGGGGTCGTAGATTATGGGGTGGAGGGATTAGGCAAAAAGGAAAAAGGACACGTGGACATGGACAACAGTGTGGTGTTTGCTGGGGGAAGGAGGGTATAAGGGGACTAAATGGTAATGGGAAAAATACAATAAAGATTACATCAAAAAATGAATACATATATAAATATATTAATAATCACAGAATGTAAATGAACAAAATTTTCTTTTAGAATATGGGGATTATTTAATTGAATAAGTATAAAGCCAGCTATATAGTATTTATGAAAGAGAAACCTTAAAATTATAGATATGAAAAATTAAAAGTAACAAGGTTACAAAAGGTATATCAGGTAAATATTGAATTAAAAAGAAACTGGCCATTAAATTAATATGAGAAAATAATGAACTTTAGCCCAGAAAGCTTTATTGAAGATAAAAAGTCATTACAAAAGGATTGATGACATAATTTACCAGGAGGAGATAACAGTGCTACATTATTATGCGTTTAATTACTCAGTTTTAGAATATATAAAACAAGAATTGATTGAATGACAAGAAAATTTTTTAAAATCTACCATCGCAATGGGAGATTGCAAACAATAACCGCAGTCATTATAACATTCTGATAAGGTGTACCTATGGCTTGGGATACAGCTTCCAAATAAGATATCCTGGAATTGTCAAATCTCAGACCTCTTAGATGAACTCAAAAAGTGGTTCAGGTAATGACAAAGACTCTGATGTTGAAAATGCATATGGAGAGTTGGAATAAAAGTGGTTCTTGAAATGCAAGTGAGGAAACAGCAAACTTTTCAAAATTAAAATTTTATATATATATATATAACTTACATATTTGTATAGAAACTGAGTGTCACAAATAAGCATTTGATTATTTCATCAACATTATTAAAGTTTAGTCAGATTGAGAGATGAGAAATGAGATTGTCTTATATTAGTAAATTCCTTATATATTTATTTATATATATAATTTAAGTGTGGCCAGCCCTGTCCAGGTAGCTCAGTTGATTGGAGCATTGTCCCAATATGCCAAGGCTGCGGGTTCGATCCCCAGTCAGAGCACACATAGGAATCAATGAATGAATGCGTAAGTAAGTGAAACAATAAAACTGGTGTTTCTCTCTCCCCTTCTCCCAGCTCTTCTTTCCTCTCTCTCTCTAAAGTCTATAAATAAAAATTTTTTAAAAATTTAAATATGGCCAACAATCTATTGCAAAAACAAAGCTATGATTACAAATATAATTCTTCGAAATAGTGAAGCCATGGCTTCAAGTATGATTCATGGCTGGTTAGAGCTGTAGGGGCCGCACACTTGTAGTTCATCCCTCTCGTAACGGAGTCAGGACTAAAACTCAGATCTCATCTCAGTCTGGCCTTGTTCTGTTCTCTCGAAGCTGTAGAAAATGGATACCAGTGTGTTTTTCGCCATGATTTCATATAAACTGTACATTCAATATAAGTGCAGTTTTTACCATGAAGTCTACCTATCTCAAACTTTACATTTGATATTTTTTAAATATTAATGAATAGTTTATAATAGTGAGGGTGTCTTCGGAAGAGGAAGGAACGATTTGGATGGACCTGGCCCCTCTTAAAAGAAAGGGGAAAAAATTATAGAGAATCTTGGCAATGCCGTCTTTTCCTGTGGGCAAAGTTCTCTTTGCCAGGCAGAGACATTAAAAACCAATCCACTGCTCAGTGTTGTTTTTTTTTAAATAGCCATCGCAGCTGCCGAACACTGAGCCCACCTTTGAGACCTTCATGTGTGAAGACTTAGAAAGCCTCTTAGATTGGATCTTTGTAGTAATATTTTTCTTTGCTCTTTTCCCTTTTTATTTTTCTACTGAAGTTCATTGCTTCCTTTCCTCTTCCCTATGCTCAATCCTCCCTGCCCCCATAACAATTTAAAATCAATACTAAAAAGCTGCTTGAGAAGGGAATGGGAAGAGTTGTTGGTCATTGAAGAAAGTTGTTTATTGGCTAATTGTGTGTGTAGGAGCTTTAGGGCTTTTGAACAAATACCCACTGGCAGGTGCAACTTTCTTTGCAGTTGTCTGGCTGCCTCTGAGTCTGTACTTACTGCCCCTCATTGCAGAAATACAGGAATCCCAGGATAAAAACCTTTAGAAACAATCTGAGAGCATGGCAAATGCAAACCACTTTATTTATTAAAATTGTTTTATTTTTAAATTATAGTTGGCATTCAGTATTATATTAGTTTCAGGTGTATAGCATGGTGGTTAGACATTTACATAACTTGGGAAGTGATGCCCCCGATAAGTCTAGTACCCTCCTGGCACCATACGTAGTTGGTTCAGTAGTATTGACTGCATTCCCTACGCTGCACTTTGCATCCCCCTACCATTTGAGAGTTCTAATTTTGGATAGGCGTGAATCCACTCAACCTGCTAATTGAGCAACCGATTATCTTCTCTGATTCCCTCTTACCTGTTCCTGTTTTTAGATGGGAACAGAATGACCTTGTTCGACTATCATAAATGAGAGAGTGCAAAAAGTACCTAGGAAGGTACTTGACACATATTCAACTATCCACAAACGGTAGCCATTTTTAGGAATACTTTTATTATTATGTTAATTGTCTGGTTTTGATTGCACTGAGCAGGGGAATAGAGACTCCATGAAAAAAGCAAGGCTGGGCTGGCCTGTGTGGTCTGCTACCCATTTGAAAGCTGTACCACATGGAGGACTTTACCTCTCTGCCTTTTTATTTATTTATTTATTTATTTATTTTGGTAATCTTGAGACACACATTTTCTATCTACTGTTGTTTTAAAGGTCATCTTGAATTGATTCAACCCCATATGGTTTAAGCATATTCCCTTTGTTAACCTGCATGTTAATATTTTGATTGTTGACATTTGACAGTGTACCTATTCCAATAATTGTATCTTCAATGTAAGAAAATGTGAATTCTTAGAGAAGAAGTAACTTTAGTAACTGAGGAATTTAATAGCAGTTTTATTTTAATTCTCCTAGTTATTTTATATTAATTTTCCTATAAATGTATCCAGATGTATATGTACTACATGGATCCTATGAACAAATTCTGGCAACTATTTGATAAATTATCATCTGAAATCTCCTACCTCTGGACCTAGTTCTAGCCTGAAAGTATCAATCTTTTGCTTATAGTAGGAATATTTTAAATCAATGACACTAAGAGTACAAGAGTAAAAGCCAGCTTAGAGTAATGTATATACCCTAAGAACCAACATGAATTTACTTTCTGTTTATTTTCAGTAGGTAATTTAACTTGTTTTCTTGGTCAGGAATAAATAAGACCAGAACATTTGGGTGAGACTTATGTCTTATTTAGTGACTTTTCCTGTTTGGTCTGATTTCTCTCCTTTGTGCTTACATTTTCAGGCTCAGCTATGTGAATTATGCAGAGGATCTGGCCTCCAAGCTCCTACAATGTTCCCCAAAGAACAGACTATCGGCACAGGCTGCCTTGAGCCATGAGTATTTTAGTGACCTGCCCCCACGGCTATGGGAACTGACCGATAGTGAGTAGGACAAATCCACACCATCCAGTCAAAGCAAGGACATCATTTTAGCATCTCTTTGTAACATATATGTGGAGAGATTGATGTTTACATGTGCATGTGTAAGATTATGTGCTTGCATATATGTTTGTGTACGTGTATACATACGTACATAGGTACACTTATGTGTATGTGTGTGGAGAGAGAGAGAACACACGGTGGGGAGGTGTTGTGTGTGTGTGTACATTTAATGGAATCCTGCCATTCAAACGCCAGCTTACCAGACACTGGACGAAAATGGATTCCTTTTTTGCTATCTCCGCTGTGCAGTTTGCAGCCACAAGTCTTTGTATTTGATTATGTGTGTGTCCAAAAAAATGATCTGAGCAGTCATAAAGGAAAAGGAAAATATGATTTATATATTTATGCATACAGTACTTTTTAACTGGCTGGAGTACAGAGGAGAAATGATTCATTTCTGTTTGATTCTTAGAGACCATCTTGGTTTTAACAATAACCTTAAAAAGGGCTGCTATGCAGTGAGCTGACGAATAAAGTTGGCAGTTAGCTAAAGCACTGAATTGACATGTAAGAAACGAAGACGTAATTCATTTTAACTACAAATGCTCTTGGTGTTCATGCAGACAGATCTTCTCTAGATCTCTTAAAACAAAACACATTCCTGGGTGGGTTTTTGTTTTGTTTTTACAAAAGCGTTCGTATTTACACAGCCTCTTTCAATTACATTTTAAATATTTGGGGGAGGATTTATGGCTGGGAGGATCTCATCTTTCTTCCAAAGTGTGAAACAGAATTCTTGTGAAATTTTGCAAAACACTATTTCAGTAAGAACATTTTTGTTCAGTGGTGATCTATTCTTTCCATGGGCTGGTTAGAGATGTTTCTTCTCCTTCTCATTCTGATTACCTTAAAATTAAAATATTGCATAGATATTTATAACATCTAATATAATTAAAATTAAAATATATGCATAGATATTTATAATATGCTTATTAATCCTTTGATATACATCATTTACCATGGACAGACACAGTTATTTCTTTAATCTTTTGGACTTTGGACTTCCCTCCATTGTACCAGATTCTCCTTCACAATAGTAACCCTTTTATTTTGGAACTCAGTCATAAGTAACAACTACTCTTGGGTATCTCTCCTAATTTTTTTTTTTTATAATCCTACAATCAATGTGAATTACTTTTTGTTACCCTGAAGTGACTATGAATATATAATCCACTACTCCCCCTAAGCTTTGTAAATCTTTTTTAACATATTTTATATTCAGCCCTACTTCCTTTCTAAAAGCCTACCCACTGACCATTACAACAGCTCTCACTATTTTAAAAAAATAAAGATAAGATCCCTATGGAAAAATAATGCTTTGGTGACACATCCTTTTATACTGAAAAAAAAATGATACAAATGGGCTTATTAGTTTATGGCTCATCAAACTGAAACATATGTTTTGTTTTCCTTTTAGAATAACTTGTAACTTGATATCACTCCTCCTTGGTAACATCTCAATCCCATCTGACTTGATGATTGCGTTTAAGCCAGGATTTTGATGGTCTACGAATTCTGAATTTTGTAGTCGTACTTTTCTGTTAATATGGACTTATTACCCACTTGCCACTTAGTTTATCAGCGAGCGGTTAAATCCAGTTTCCATCAGTAAGGAAATGCCTACACATTATCACTCGGTAGCAGGCTGCCAGCGGAGACGGCCTTGTCCCCATCATTAACAAGCACAATGTATGCAGAACACCAGAGGGGAATTAAAACCACAAAAAATACCTCAGGGTGGTATTTTTAATATGAGAATTTAATTTGTAATTTCACAGATTAAGAATTTTGGCTGCATTAATCCCTTTATCAGCTCACAGCAGGCTATTTGCAGAAGCATAACCATAAGGTGATATTCATTGGCAGAAACACGTCTTTGCATAACGTTAAACATCAGGAGCAGGGAAACCTTTTGAAGGGGGGAGAATAAAGATGAAAAATCATTATATTTTTAAAGCAAGATTCTGCTAAATGCCTCTGGTAAAAATTTTGAGTTACAGAAATGCTATTTCTGTGCGTAGTAGATAATCATTATGAAGCATAAATCCAGTCTCAAGAAAGGACAATCCCAGCATTAAATACTACAGTCATTTCCATTTTGAACGACGTGGTGGTCCTTGTAAACATGTTTACAAAACAAAGAATTCCAAGACTTCAGAGGCTTTGGAAACTAGTCCTTTTAGTGACAGGACTAGTTTTGGTGACTGTTATCAAGGTTAATATTCTGCAGACTATATTTAGACATTCTCAACACTCCGTTTTACATTAGGGTGGAGTCTTGTAGAAGTTCACCACCTGGCAAATGGCCCTGGAGGTGGCAATACCTTCATGTGCTTCCTGTGCTTCCTTTTCAACGAGATCTGGTAGGCGGTCCCCCTGGAAAGATGTGTCACAGAACCAATAAACTGATTGTTGTAGCAACCATGCCATGGTTTAGATTCATCAACTCCAGGAACCTCACTGCATTGTCTGCCCACGCTGCTATAATGGGGGTGGGAGGGGAGTGGGGGTGGTGCTTAAACAACAAACCACTTTTCACAGTTCTAGGGTCTGGGAAGTCTAAGATCGAAGTGCTGGCAAATTGGGTTCCTGGTGAGATTTCCTCCCGGACTGTGGACAACTACCTCACTTGTATCTTCCCGTGGCAGAAAGAGACTGGCCTTTTTTCTTCCTCTTGTTACAAAACCACTAATCTCATGAGAGCCCCACCCTGATGACCTCATCAAGCTGTAATTCTTACTCAAAGCCCCGCCCCCAAATCCCATCATGTCGTGGGGTAAAGGCTTCAACATATGAATTTGTAGGACATATTTCCGTCCAGAGCACTGACATTTCTTAAAGACAGCTCATGGCTTTTTTTTTAAAAAGAATGACCACAAAAAGAAAAAACATTTCTGCAAACAGAAAGTGAAACCAGTAAAAAAGGAAGAAGAGTGGAATAAAAATAAATTCAAAGTGGGCTCAAGCCTCCTTCGCTACTTTAGTGTATCAGACCCTGAGATAAAAGTGTCAAGTATGGTCAGAATCTTGGTTACCTAGAATATTGCAATCATTTCATGGATTATATATAAAATTGAAGTTGTATACTTAAGCCAGACTCTTATTTGGTTTGGGAAAACATATGAAAACAGAACACCTTTCTTTATTGTACTAATTTTCAAAACCTCAACAGTTTACATAACGCCAAAATTTAGAAGTAATGTATTGGCGTGCCAGTGAGGCAAGAATTACAAATTTATCAAGCAAGGATAATGGCACAGTTACCTGGGAATCTCGCGGTTAAAGCTGGCTAATTCTGATGGCACGTTGTCATTCTCCCTCTGTCCTGAAACCCCAACCGCCTTGCCCCACTTTTTCACAAAGATTTAACTGCAGGGAAGTAAATGGGAGGCTGATTTAGAAGAAATTCATTACTTTTCCCAAATACACCATAGGGCATTCTCCTGTGTATACTATCAAGCTACATAAATTATTGAAGCTGAACTACCCTTGTCAAAGTAAATGAACAAAATACACTTCATAGCATAGAGTCCTTGATTTTATTACATGCATTTGTTAATTCACAAAACTCAGATCTGCAGTAAAAGAAGGCTAACAAATCGGAGCAGTGTAAAAAGTGGGAATCAGACCACCTGGATTCTAGCGTCAGCTCTGCCGTTCAGTAGCCAGGCAACTTTTGCCAAATATCTTATTCTCCGTGCACTTCCAATTTCTCATTCAGAGAACAAGTGCTCTCTAAGGACCTTTCCAGCTATAACATTTTTAGGTTTTCCTACCTATTCCTAAATATGTGCTCCATATTATCTTAAATCAATGTTCTGCCATTAAGGTAGCTCCATGTCATTTTTAAAAAAATAAAACAAGCACACCCAATTCAAATATATTTGCTCTCTCCCGATTCCTAGATTTCCATTCCCTCATGAATCCTTTTGAACCAGGCTTTTGCCCCCAAGACTCCAAAACCACTGTGTTCAAAGTCTCTATCCATTGAGCCTTCCCCAGCCCTCACCTTGACCCATCAGCAGAATTTAACACAATTGTCCACTCTCTCCTCTTAGTAACATTCCTACACTTGTACTCTAGGACAGGACTCTCCCATGGTTTTCCTTTTGCTTCTGCTTTTCGGGTTCTGGTGGATTTCTTCTAATCTGCCAGACCTCTCACTGTTAGAGTGCCCTGTGGCTTAATCCTCAAATTTTTCTGTCTATAATTCACTCCTTAGAGCTCAGATGATCTCATCCAGTCTCGTGATTTAAATATCATTTATACTTTGACAGCTTCCAAATTTCTGTCTCAAATCCCATCTTCCCTGACTCCAGATCACATATCCAGCTGACTACTCAAAGATTCTCCATTTGACCATCTACCAAGCATCTCAAATGTAGTAGTATTACCAGAACTGAACTCCTGATCTTTATCCCCGGACTTGCTCCTTCTGTAGTCTTCCTCTTGTCAATAAATGGCAACACTGTTCATCCAGTTAGTGAAAGTTATCTCTGACACCTTTTTTGTCACACTCATACTTGCTTCTTCCACAGTCCAAGTTGGTATTAAGTTCAAATTATGAGGTCTGTACAGAAGGGAGGTCTGCACAGAAGGTATCCATCCATGTAATATGAAAAATGGAGACATTTATTGAAGAAGATACAAGATACATGAAACATTGTACACAGGACAATGATTTATCAGTCCCCTTCAAAGTAGGCACCTTTGGGCCCTCACACAGTTCTCCCAGTCCCCATCAGCTGCCTCACTATATTTTCCTGAATTTCATTGTCTGAAATCTCTTCCCTTTCAAAGGTGACTTTAGTTTTGGGAGAAGCCAGAAGTCCCAGGGCACCAAATCTGGGCTGCAGCAGGGCTGAGTCACCTGGGTGATTTGATGTTTCTCCAAAAAACTTTGCACGACATGTGACGCGTGAGTGGGCGTGTTGTTGTGATGAAACAGCCCATCACCAGTTGCCCAGAGCTGCAGCCTCTGAGTCATCCCAATAGTTTCCACAGAGGAATATTCAAGCTTAATACAACATTTGATGCAGATTCATTCCTTTACTCGCTCAGTGATTTGGAATGACGGCCACACAGTACACAGGCTCACTCAACGGTGTCTACTGCCCGTTACTGACTAGTACAGTGAAGTTGTCACTGTTCACACATGTGCATTCCTGTCCGCTCTCCTTGGCTGCCAGGTTACTTCGATGTCACACAAACCATTCTCATTATTTTAACAGTGTATAATGTACCCCATTATTGTATACATGTACCACAGCTTTTTTATCCACTTGTCACCTGTATTTTTACAATAGCCTGATAACCGTTTTGCCTGCTTTTCTTCTTGCTTCCCGGGAGTCCGCTCTGCTGTTTGGTCTTCCTCCATTAGCACTCCCTGTTCCTCTAGACAGGCGTGGCTTGCCCTCCATCCCACCCCCCACCGTTGGGTTTCTGCTCAAATGTATCTACATGTCCAGTTTCTCTTCCTTGACTTATTTTTCATCGCGACATTTACTACTAGTTGATATTTTCTATTTGTTTGATTGTCTTCATCTGTCTCCCCTAAATGGAATCTACAAGAACAGGGATTTCTTTTCATTCTGACTTATGCACTACAGGATTCTGAAGTCCTAAAACAGCGTGGGGCTTAATAAATATTTCTTCAATGATTGAATGAAAGTATGGCACAAAGAAAAGAAAAAATAGCCCTGGCCAGGTGGCTCAGTTGGCTGGAGTGCTGGCCCATATACCAAAAGGTTGCAGTTTTGAATCCTTGGTCAGGGCATATACCTAAGTTACAGGTTCAATCCCCGGTCAGAGCGCAAACAGGAGGCAGCTGATACCTCTCCCCCCCCGCCCCTCCCCCGACCCCTTTCTTTCTCTCTAGGATCAATAATAAAAAATATCTTCAGGAGAGGATTAAGAAAGAGAGAGACAGAAGGAGGGAGGAAAGAAGGGCAGTATATTGTTTTCATCACCTGAGCTGTGATTCTGCAGGGAAGGCAGACTGTCCTGTCATTTGTGTGTATGAATCTGTGTACATGTGTGTGTGGCTATGATTACTTGACTTTCAGAGGCCAAAATACACCATAGTGTTCCCTGGGCCAGGTATCCATTTTAAAAAAGAGAAGATTATAAATACATCAATAAATATGTAAATGATAACTTTTCATTTTCTCCACAGTGTCTTCTATTTTTACCGTCCCAAATGTAAGATTGCAACCAGAGTCTGGAGAAAGCATGAGGGCCTTTGGGAAAAACAATAGTTATGGCAAAAGTCTATCAAACAGCAAGCACTGATGAGCACAGCATTCTCAAGAGAGCACAGGTAAGATGACCCACTTTACTTGGAAAGTAATATTGCATAGATGTCAAAGACATCTTTTAAATGAAATTTTTCAGATTCATTTTTCCCCCTCTTATCAGTCTCTTGTGTTCACTATGGCATTCATCACAGATTCTATGGAGGCAGAGTACAGTTGGTCATTTGCATGTTTTCCAGCGCTTCAGGTTCTAACCATAATTTTACTTCATCTGTATAGTTAGGAGCAACCCTTTTAGTCATAAGCAAGTCATTTTAGCTACTCACACATTCTTCATTGAGGTGAGCAGAAGCTTAACCTTGGGCTGTATCTAAGCTTTGACCCACACAATTTTTTTTTAATTAGTTGCTCTCATTTTACAATGGGGAGATTTTATACAAAGTCTGGATTTCTGGCTTTTCCTGAAAAGTCAGCAACTCTGCAATAATACCATGCTCACAGTCCTGCCCGAATTCTGTGCATCTGACTGACTGGTGGCCGCCTCCCTGGGAAAAGACGTGTGCTCCCTGCTGTTGCTCCAGTGCCACGTGACCACTTCACCCATCTCTGATTCCCGCCAGGCCCCAAACACAGACCTTATCAGGGGCAGCTTTTCTCTTTTTCCTATATGGCGCTGTGACCCCTACCGCTCTGCAGACAGGCAGCATCGCCTAGGCAAGGCACTCCCCGGGCCTGGCAGCCTGCCCCGGGCGGCACACACGCTTCACAGAAACAAGCTAAGACAGCAGCTTCTGAAAAGGCTGTGTGTCCCTCTTTACTGCCGGGTGGAGAGGTCTGGGATTTTGGAATTGCAGGACCCTGTACATATACCTTCTTGTTCAATGCCACTTAACCCTCTCAAGCAAATAGAGAAGCACCTTTTTTGTGGGGAAAGCCTTTCTTTTGCCAGTCCATATTTGTTCCTTGCTCCTATGGATGCCCAGTAATTCAACAGGTGAGCAAATCGGAGGATGCATAGAGCAGTGGTGGAGCTCCTCCTTGTTCCTCTGTCTCTTAGAAGAGAGCTTAACAGGCTGATTTGTCAGCCTGGCAAAGAGAGCAAATTAAATTGTCCACCTTACCCTGGCCGTGTAGCTCAGTGGGTTGGAGTGTCATCCTGTACACCCCAACAGTTTCAGGTTCAACCCCTGGTCAGGGTATATGCTTAGGTGGTGGGTTCGATCCCCAGTCAACCCCCAGTTGGGGTGGGTATGGGAGGCAACAGATCAGTGTTCTCTCTTTCTCTCTTCTCCTCTTTCTAAAATCAATAAAAATGTATCCTTAGGTGAAGATAATAAAGAAAAATTGTCCACCCTGCCTTGTGGGTGAAATGCCAGTACTGTGAGCTATTTCTGGACTTACTTTTCGCATGTGCTCGGTGAGGGGGCCAGTGTTAGCTTCTCAGAAGTATGGTGATGAGTTTTGAATAGCTGGAGAGAAAAGATTCCCAGGTGAAAGGGGATGTATAAATGCCAGTCAGCACTAGTAAACTTGCCACCTCTTTTGTTGGTATGAGTAAGATTCTTCATTCCTCAGGTTACTTGTCCCTGCTGGACACAAAGTCACCTAGAAGCCCAACTGTACTGCCCTATGGCATCTGTACTCCCATTCTGAATTTCAATTGGTCAGACAAAGGACAAGTGGGACTGCGTTTCTGACCAGTAACCGCCTGGTTCTGAGAATGGTTTTAATTCACGAGGGTGGCAGCATAGGCTTTCTAAAGTATTTAACCTGCATTACCATAATGAGGCCCCCTGGCTTTCTAAATCCTTCAGCCAATTCAGTAGAACAAAACAAAAAGTGGACTTCATTTGGGCTGTTCTTTCATACACACATGCCCACAAGCAAGCGTGCATTTCAATGGCAAGGCAGCTTCGTGCTCCTCTGCGGTTTGGAGATCTCTGTGGCCTGAGCCCAGCCAGTAAAGCCGCTGGACCGTGTGTCGGGTCAGCTTCTCGGAAAATCAGATCAAACTCACAGAACGGAGGCATGGCCTGCAAGGACTCAAACATTAATTGAAAAAAGATTTTAAAAGGTGCTCAGAACCGCAGTCATTAGTATTTGAAAGTCTTTTAAAAATGTATTTGCAGTATCTTTTTAAAACTAACTTAAAGTTATCTGCATGGTGGAACCTCTTCCTCTAGAATTATTTGATAATGATACAAATATTTTCTCTATGAGTTTTGTCTTTTCACGTCAACTTGTAAAGCTTAATGTCATTATTGCTTTTTGTTGTTTTCTTCCAAATCTCAATACCTCAGCTTAATTCAACATTATATTGAGAAAACATCTAAATTGTTTTTTCTCAGAAAAGCTTCAAGGAGACTGGATTCTAAGAGGTTTCTGTCAGAAGCAAAAGATATCTTTTTAATTTCTCCTCTGTGTGGATTTTGAATTTTAATCAAATGAAGCCATCTTTGGGATAAAAATATATAGCTTCTATATTGTCCTAATGCATCTTGTATAGTAGAACTTATTCTAACCAATACTTGAGTATCAAACTGTAGACATATAGAGCAAAAAGTCTACACAAATAAGGGTATTCATAGAGAAAAACATGGAATTTCCTATATTTTAATTTTGTTGTTGATGAATTAATTAACTGTCTAGAGCAGGATGAGGCATCTTAAATTTTCCTCAGATGTCCCAATTCTTTGTAAAGCCCAGAAGGACAGGGAAGGAGAGGGCAGGGGAAGAGGGTGGGGGCCCAAATAAGCTATGACTAGGCTAAGGCTAGCATTTCAACCACCTCTCTTGGGAGGTAAGACAGAGGGAAATGCATTGTATCACTTCTGCTTTTGAAATGAGGGAGGACTGATGGGCAGGAGTGTTTCAGGTCGTAATTTTTTCCTGATATCTCAATGCCAAATTGTTTCTATACGTGCATACAAAGGTCACTTCATTATTTAGTTAAGAGAGCTGGGTTTGCATAAACTGGATAATGAGAAGCATTTTCCTTTGCAGCAGAAAGCAATTTGAGTTTCAGAGTCCTGTGACCAAATGAAATAAAAAGAAAAACTACATGCAGCCAAGTTAAACATGGGATAGGTGCCACTGAATGGCCAAAGTACTGTGCTTCCTACATTTTGTTATCCTCTAAAGATATTAACGGCGTCAAGCTTTCATAGATGGTCCCCACTCTTCTAATCAGCATTGGAGGGTAAGACCCTCTTAATGTCTGAGGGACATTATGCCTTAAATGTGCATAGAAATTTTCCCCAGGGAAAAGACTAGACGCTATATTGAATACCACATCCATTAGTATCACTTATATGCAAACACAGCCCTATGGTGAGCTTAATTTTCCAGTTATTTTAAACAGACAGGAAGTGCACGGTCACTCTGTCTACTTCTCTTTTTGCTGAATACAAGAAATAAGAATGGCTCCTAATCTTTTAAACAGACATTTTATATTTTTTTCTGAAATGATATGTGCTCATTTTGGTTCATCTCTTTTTAATGAATCAGCTGGCCTTCAGACTATTACATTTGTAATACATATGCAGCTGTCTAGTGCATGAAAAAAATTGTATTTGGTTCAAGTGCAAGAAGTTAACTGCATGCATATTTTGGTGACCTTTCCCTTGCTTTATAGAATTTTATCTTTGCTAATCAACATTATTTAAGTATTGTATGACAATAAAAAAAAAAGGGTTAGACTCTCTTGGCTTGACTTAGTCATCAAGCGATAAATAACTAAAAGTAGGCTTCCAGGTACACAGAGTAGAATGCATAAATTGCTTAAGAATTTTAATTAAATAAGGTAAAGATTTTTTAAAAAGAAAACTCCAAAAAGAATACACTGCATTGGTGCTGAACGTTCAGTGGATCTGCGCCTTGACACCTTAGGGTGCCAAACCCTGGGGTTGTTTAAAAAACCAGGATCCTGCAGTCCATGAAACTGCATTTTAAAGAACCCCAAAGGATACTGATACAGGTATCTGAACTACATATAATGAAATATTTAGTAAATATCGAGAATTGTATATTTATAAAGTAAAATAATCAACTATTTGAGTCAGGACTGGATATAGACAAACTAGGAAAATCCACCGTAACCCTTTTTTTTAAGGAAGAGTAGTGTACACTTGTGCTAATAAGGTAACCACTAGCCATATATGGCTTTTTAAATTTAATTTTTAATTAATTAAAAGTAAGTTAAATTACAGTTTTGTTTCCTCAGTAGCAATACCACATTTCAAGTGTTTGGTAGCCACACATGGCTAGCAGCCACCTTATGAGCCAGGGTGAATATAGAACCGTCCCAACACCACAGAACAGTCTGGTGGACAACTGGTGAAGAGCATCCTCCTGCCTGCGTGTTCATGGAGGAATCAGGAAAATCAAACTGATCCAATCAGTAAAAACATGTGTCAGTTCTAGATGACAGCCACTTAAGAGAAGCTCAAAATGTCTGAGGAAGAGAAACTCTCAAATGAGGTAAGAGGCAGGTAGCAAAGTGTAAAGAACAGAGACAGATGACTGAGAATGACAAAAAAGGCTTTGCCACAGGAACAGGACAGACCACAAGAGAGGGGGTTTGGGGATCTTTAGGAGAAGGAAACATGGTCACATTTCCTCAGTTGATGGTGGTCTTTGTTTAGATTGCTCTGGGAAGTAAGGAGGAACAGGTTGACAGTGTACGTAGGTGCACAGAAGCTAAATGTCCCTCAGAATCCAACAGAGGCTTTAGTTTGTCTGCCAGCTCAACTATCACCTCACATCTGCTACCTGTTCCTGGAGAGACACCCACCTGTTGTATCCTTTATGCAGCTCAATTTTCCTGTCGCTGCATCCACTAACATTGCTTTCATCTTCTCGTCTCATAGCTTCTGCTGACTTGTCTCCTCTGCTTGTTCATGAATCCTGCCTATTGTGGTTCCTCTCTTGTCTCTCTTATTCTGGGGCAGTCTGTTGCTGAGCTCCTTCCCTCAGATTCGGTTGGTCCTCAAAAGCAGTTCTGATTGGTGTGGTCATCATCTTGAAGTAGAGAGAGCAAGGCATCAAGCAAGGCTGTTTTGTGAGT